TGTGCGAGTTCGATTTACGCACGGACTGCTACTCACATGGACAGTTATATGTTGCGTGTTCTAGAGTCGGCAAACCTGACAATCTCCATATCTGCACAAAGGTAAGTATTTTATTTCCTTTCATCTTCATTTAACCATACTGAACCACAGCAACCTTATTGCAATTTAAGAGACTGCAATCCTCTATTCGTTTGGTGTTTGTAATCACAATCAACAAAGGTCAGAGCCACTCTTTTGAAGTGCGTGGGTTATGTCTACCTAAAGACTGCTTCTCACATGGACAATTTCATGTTGCATGTTCTAGTGTCGCAAATCTGACCATTTCCACATGTGCACCGACAAACGTTACAACACAAAACATTGTATACTCACAAAAGTTGTGAAACTACATCTATTGCAAAGGTGAAATGATTTTCCTTCATTTTCATACATCTAGACAACGGTACAACTAACAACATTGCGTACCAACAAGTAATTCAAAACTACGTGTATTACTAAGGTTAGAGTATTCTTTTCATTTATTTTCTTTTACCACACGGAGCCACAGCAACGCGTGGTTGGGTTCACCTAGTAGGAAATAAAGGTTAAAATGACACGAAAATTGAAAATTCTTGCTTAAGGCAATTCACCGACATATTCACATGGATAAATGTGTTATATAATATGGAGGGCTAGTGAGCGCAGTGTTTAGTTTGCATTATTTCGTTTTTTGATGAAAACGGACTGTGTCGAGTGATGTGAATGGGATAAAGTCTAGTCTAACGCTTTAGCGTTGATGTGGGGGAGAAAATAAGTGGGAAGGAAGAGCATTCTAGGTTTTAGATACCCGAACAGGGAAAACATTTTGTCGTTAATCAAGTCGACTCTGGTGCTTGGCCAATTTGAGCTGGTAGTCTCTCATTTTGGTATTGTGCCCGAATTGCAAACACATCACGACAGAGGAGATTGGGTTTCACCAGTATTTGATACACTATGATTATGTCTCCTCGCAGGCCTCGATATCCACTGATGTACAAGCCTAAGACTTGCAGTCTACATTGGTACGGGAGGTGCAACATCTCTCGAACGATGTTCGTGGCGCTGCGTTTTGGCGATTCAAGCGAATCAAGATCTTGTTTTCGCCAAGCTCGCCGGGCTTACATCGCGTACTCCATATGAGGCCTCACGTATCCGTTCAGCATTTGAGGAAAGTCAGTTAGCTCAAACGCCTTTCGTAAAGGACTAGGATGTTGACTGGCCTTTTACTTTGTATTTGCAGTCCGTTTCGAACAGCCTAGGTCATCCTGCACGGTTGTCTCGAGGTAGCTTTCCTGTGTAGCATCTGGCAGCAGCTGCTCCCCCAGTTGATATTCATAAGTACATGTATAGGTCCTGTCGAGATCTCTCTCCAGTGCCGCATTGTTGTCCACTGTCTTGATGTCATGTCAGGTCTTTACTTCGTGCGCGAACAGTAAGAAGTCTGACTGAAGCGCATCTGCAAGATCCTTGATGAACACTAGGAATGATCCTGTGCCACTATCGCCTTTTCTCTTGCAGTCCAGTCAAGTGTTGCCCTCGGTCTTCATAAGCAACTAATTCATTACTTTCTGTCTAATTTGGAAAAGGTTTTACTTTCTGTGAACAGTAGTAAGTGGTTGATGTGTTACTTCGGAACAAACAACATTTCTAGTGTTCTTCACGTCCTACGCTATGCATGGATAACTATCTTGGGCCGCCGCACCGTTTACAAGTTGCGGTCAGAATTTGATAACTTCAACAAGCGTTTGAGGTTTAACGCTAAACTTGTGAATACGAAGACTGCAAAGCGATTTATGCGGGATTGTTTACAGCGTAACCACGCCTCAAGACCTACTGAACTCACTGAGGTACTGTCATGTGAAGGTAACGACTCAGACGCTTAGGCGCCATGCATACAATTTGCTGGAAGCAGTTGAATCAAGAATACCCGAACTTGAAAGGCTATGTGCGCGTTACCAATCCGTTGTTGAAGATCTCGATGCGTTCCAGAGCGAGTCCTTTAAGCAATAGGTTCAACAAGTGTGCAAAAAGGTGGGAGAGGGGAAATTTGCAAAACTACTGAAAAGCATGGAACCAATTCATCCGGCATCGAAGTTCCCGTTGCATCCCGAAAGATACGTCCACAATCTATCAAGCCTGAAACTTACTCTTCTGCGACTAGAAGCTTCGTCGCTGGGGCCGAAATTCTGCCTTTCGCAGTAGGTTACCGGGCAAGTTCATATTGAAACACAGTTCGAAAGCCTAATGTAACGACTAACTGAGCTGACACCGAGGTCTTCACTTGCAGGTGACACTTTCAAAACCATCCTGGTGGACCTAGCACAGCAATATCGAGATTTTAAACCGAAATCCTCAAACCTCAAGTGCAAAAATCATCGAGAGTCCATAAACGAATTGAACAGGATCCTGATTTGATACTTTCCGGAAGAGATAAAGAGTCTGGATGGGTGCTAATGGACAGATCTGACTACGTCTCCAAACTTCAAACACATTTGCAAGGCTCAAGCAAATTCCTGCGTGAAATAGTTCAGAAGGATAAGACCGTGGATGACGAGCTAAAACTCAGGAAGACTTTGAAGGAATTAAAGCACATGAAGTTGATAAATGACATTCTGTTTGATCGGTTAACAGATAGGCTCCCATCCCCCTCGACTGTATGGATTACCTAAGATGCACAAGCCACAGACTCCGTTGCGTACGATAATTGATATGTCATCCTCAGCCTTCCACTCGGTCGCGAAATGGCTTGTTGACGTGTTAAAACTGGTAGGTACAGAATTATCTACGCACACACTGAAAGATTCATTGGAATTTGTCAGACACATAGAGAACTTAAAAGTTGACGGCAATATGATACTATCTTTTGACTTAGAATCACTCTTCCCTTGATAGAGACGGTTAATTTCCCGTGTGATTGCATGACGAAAAAGACCATAGACGTTGGTACTCCAACATGCAAACTAAAGGAGCTACTTCTGCGATGTAAGTACATCAGGCACATCTTATTAGATGGGATGTAGTACAGACAGACAGACGCTTCTTGCGGAGCTCTTTCTAGCCAAACTTGAATGTGGACCTCTATAATCACTTATCCCGGCGCGATGCATACCGGAGGTATATGGAGGATCCAATTATTGTCTATGATTCGAGTATCGATGTTGCGAAGTTGCTACATCAGTTCAACTAGACACATCTCTGCATTTCACCAATAAGATTAGAAGCGATGGCAAACTAGCTTTCCTGAACGTCTTGCTAAAGAGACGGGGGGATGAATCACATGAAAGAAATGTCTTCAGAAGGCTATATGGGTAGGCCAGTACACCCACTTTCTAAGCTTTGTAACACTGAATAACAAACGAAATATGATAAGCTGCTTGTACAATCGTGCCACCAAAGTCTGTAGCCCGGCAACTTTGGAATAGGAGAAGAACCACATCTTTAGAATACTGCAAGACAACGGTTATCCAGACCCGTTCAACAGAAGACACGCTACGGTCCGTATGCACCAAGAATCTGTCATGACCACATGGAAGTGATCTTTCTCTCTATTCCTTTCAAAGGAGTTGTCACTTTCGATCTGCTGAGCAGACTAATCTCAAACGCAATTGCTAAAGCCTACCCAGCCGCCTGAACTGGCGTTCTTGCGAGGAGTGCTCCTTTTATCACACATTTCCTTAAGGACAGATAACCGGTTCAATCCCAAACATATATTCTTTACCAGTATACTTGCACCTGTGGTGTAAGATACATTAGGCACACGACCAGATGTCTGTCCAAACGGATAACAGAACACTGTCCAGCATCTCTACGAAGTGACACTGCCAGAAATCTTAATAGTTCTATCATGGGGTACCAGCTTCAAAGTGGCTATGAGATACGGACAGAAGATTCCTTCAAAGTCTTCTGCGCTGTATCAAAGCAATATCCCAAGGGGGCTTAGAAAACGGCTGTTGAACACGACGGAAGCGATCGCAATCAGGACGACTCAACCGGAACTATGCAAGCAATAGGCTCTTGTGCAACCCCTCCTTTTGCCATAGCCCCGTGGCAATTCTCCCGCGTTGGACGCTGAAAGCAAACCAGTGTTATCCCCATCCTACTGGCAGTCACGAGATAGAAGTGAATCGACATTAATGTTATTTGATTGTAGCAGCATTGTACAAATTACTTATATTATTCATAATTCTATTTTAACTTGCATATTGAGTTCATTTACATTTTCTTATAACTGCCCGACGAGAGTCACCGAAAAGTAAGCGCTTCTCCGTAAACAATTTTTTTACCTTTCTTGTGGCGTCCTTGTTCTTAGGTTATTTACAGTTGTATTTTACTACTTGATTGTGGTATCACTTTGAAAGCTTGTCTAGTTGAATTGTCTCTGACATTACTAGTTTTTGTCATCAAATAAATAAGCATACTCATGTATCTACCTGCTTTCCTCAAGCACTATACTACGCAGGGTATAACACAGCAGCCCGCTTTGGTCCCCTCGTCGTTCGTAACTCGTGGCAATGTTCCATTATTGCCCTTTTCTAATATGTTCTTTCCTTGGTTTTCTCAGAGCTGGTTGTTCCACACTGAGTCGGATGTTTGGTTGCTCTGTCATTGCATCACTTTGAAGGCTTTTTTTAGTTAAAGTATGCACGCCACTGAACTTTTAATGTGGCGTAACAATTAGGAGCATGCCCAAACTCGGTTTTAATCAACCCTTTTGCTTAGTAGTGCCGCGTTGTGTTCGTCATCTAAGAGAATACGTTTGAATGTGAAGTTTTTGCCCTCTAATCTATATAAAACTCATTGGTTGCTCTTCACACTAGTCTGGAACTTAGTTATGTTCGAAGGCAACATCCAGTTTCCCTATAGCTTTGGAGTTGCGGGAATATCGCTCGATGTTTCACAATTACGTTTCGTGTCCATCGAACCGACATAACTGAGACATAAAATGTCTTCCTCTGGTTGTATCGAAGGAGTGTATTATTTTCATTACTTCGATCGATACACTTACGATACCAATGTTTTCACGATCATCGATAATGCGACGATTGACGATATCATTGTTATTGATGATATGATATGACGTATGCTCATTCTAACTAGTATGGTGGATAGTTAGCTTGAAAGTACGGGCGATAGCGGCGTTTGGTCCAAAACTCTTCTCTCTGCTTGTCACTTCTGTTCTCCAAGCTTTCTAGTTGCTCCACGTTGTCGAGAAACCCACTCATATAGATACGGTAGAACAGCAAATATAATTCGCTCCATGCACCCAGTGGCATTCCCATCATGTGGAGCATAATTTGCTTGCCGGATTTGACTCCAGTTAGTAAATCGACAAGCCGTTTCGTCTGCTCCTTCGTCAAGTGGGCTGACTTGACATAATCCACAATGGTTTTGCTCTCTAGAGAACAAAAATGGGTAAAACAGATATAGTATCGAAAACTGATGCCAAAGTTTGGATTTGCATAATTTTATGCCAGGTTTTGTGTGCCGTTTTGTTCATAATAATTCCAAAAAGTGCTCCGGCTTGTTGCGCCTACTCTTACAGTTCACTCCCATTTACTACACTTATTAATTATTATTATTATTATTGTTATTATTATTATTATTATTAATCGTCTAGACTAGGGCATACATCCGCCACATTCGTTAGAGCGTTACACCGGAGTTCTGCCTGTTGGAGCGTATCTTTACCAAACCCCTCTGGATTAAAGCCTACTTCCTCGCCGCTTGTGGTGCGCTGTCTTAGTGACTGAGCCATTGACGACTTAGGTGGTTTTCGGGACTACTTTGCTGCGATGCCGCGAATCTCCTCCTCCACTACCACCCATATAACTGTAGTAAGAAGGACAGAATTGGCCCAAGGGACAATTCCCTTTACCTAGGTGCCAAATATATTGTGACATTGGAGTCGGTTGCAATACTGATATTTAGTGAGTGGTAGAATACCTTGAAGATTGATGTAGGCTAGATTGTTGAATTACCGTATGTTGCCTCTGCTGCTCAAGAGGAACAAAACTTTGGACGTGTCTGCTTCGTTAGATCATCTGTCATCAGTTGCAGGTTTTCAGTTGAGCGCACCATGGCAATTGTTCTAACGGATTTCCGGAAATGGTCAGGTCTATGTTAGTCGTAACAGCCCAGTAAACGGTGTTTTTTAATTTTTACACTCTCACAGGGTGTGGTCCTGAGGTGACCCTCATTTTTCATCCCAATATCCGGCAGTACAGCTTTTCCCATTTTTGCCGTTGGAATAAAGGTTTATCGAGCTCACTTGATGTGAGACCAGTTCTAAATCGATACTTAGGTTGTACATTTGCTACGTGCTTGCCGTGCGGTCGAAGGTTTCATTGCTCCTTATTAATCAACACGTTCGAAACCAAATTATATAGCATATTCGCCTTTGTAGACTCATTTAATCAGGTTCAGTCAGGCGCACCCAGTGCACTGACTTCCTCGAATACACACTCCACTGACCAAGATCTACCGCCTGTTTTCAACCATTTTGCGATTTTTCGGCTGAACCGCACGCGTACAAACCCATTGTCTTCCTAGTTTGCATGAAGTTTCTTGGAATTATGTGAATGTATATTGCGGGATCCATTCAAGCATGAACCGGCTAAATCCGTCGCAATGAGACTGCATCTTAAAGTGATGCGACGGTTTGCGTACCTCCTTGAGCCACTGAGCTATACTGGGTGGTGCCTCCGGGTCGCTTTAGAGCTACTCCTACCAGGTTGGTCAATGGTGAGAGGTCAGACAAACTCAGTCTCCTGGTCCTCCAGCTTGAGGGTTTGAAATGGAATGGCGTCCATTTCTGTAAAACTAAATCACTGCCACCTCCCCGCTGCCTTGCGGACAGGCTTTTGAGTCAAAGGCTTTGATTCAGGACCCTAATCGTCCTTCTATCTAGGCCTGGGCACCCTGGCAGTATCTCAGCCCACATACAACCATGACTTTTTCTTCAAATAGAAACTTCATTCTGCATCGGCTTTCGCGCATATTAGCAAGGGTCGCCTTATCTGCTGCATACAGCAGGGCGGATAAGCGAAAACATGCTACTGCTGGCGCCTCTTTCCTTTTCCACCAGTTTCTCTTACTCCCATCCCGACCCGCGTTACTAACCTTCCTTCTATAATTCCTACCTTAATTGACAGCAACTGAAGTGCCACTGGAGTAGAACCATCTGCAACCACCATTACATAACACCCATCGGACGCCTATCGGTAACGGCCTCTTCTAATGCCATGCTATGCAGTTTCTACGGCGGCGTTCAATGTTCACACTAAGACAAATAGGTTAACAATCTGTACTCGCACGCACCATGGACACACTGGGTATTGATGTGTGTTGTGTGTCAGAAATGAGGATTAATGACCCTAATGGGGTTGTTGAATTAACTGCCCCCTGCTTATCCTTTCGTTATTGGTTGCACACATCCGGAGACGCCGATGCAGCACTCACGAGTCAGGCTGTTGTAGGTATCATTCTAAGCTCAAAGGCTGAGCCATTGTTGGTTGATTGGATTCCGGTAAACAGCCGTTTATGTGCAGCCCGTCAGCTAAGGTTGATTCACGAAGTAGTACAAACGCTGTTTGTTTGTGATTTCCGTTTATGCTCCCACCGACTGCAGTTCTAATGCTCTCAAGGACACATTCTAACACGAACTGAACGCGCTACTACGCAGTGCTACTAGTTCAGATATTATAGTACCTGCAGGGGATATGAACACACAAGTAGGGCGTCTGAGCTCTTCAGAAGCTCAGCTGGGTTCTAATTGTGGGCTTAACTCCAAACGGACTGACAACAGCGAGCGTCTGCTACAACTGTGTGCGGAGCATCAGTTGTTTCTTAGTAGCACTGCTTTTAGACACAGTGGGCGCCGAAGTGCCACTTGGCGTCTTCCTGTAGTTGGCCAGCGAAGGACCCAAATCGACCACATAGCCATAAGTTACAGGTGGCGTGGTTCCATCCTGGATTGCCGCTCGTACTGGAATACCTGTGTCGACTCTTATCATGCCTTTGTACGCTGGCTTTTCTCCATTAGCTTTACCGGGACGTACACCAAGCGTCTCCTCCCATTGGTAACTGAGAAATTATCCCAGCCCTCGGTCAGGCAGCCTATCTAGCTGCACTGCGTACCGAACTTTCGCTGTCTTGTCCTAATGACACTGAACTTCAGTGGAATGGGAATTCGGCCGCCATGCACGATTCAGAAGCATCCGTTTATGGCAATATCAGTCGTCACCGCACCAGTCACTGGATATCCGAGAGGTCGGTGAACCAGTTGGAATCCAGAAAAATCTTCCAGGCTGGCTCTGAGCATAATGTAACCAGGTGCGAACTAAAGCGAAGCCTACATGCTGACAAGAAAGCCTGATGGACCAGTCGGGCTCAAGAAATGGAGGAGGCAGGAGCAGTAGGTATTTACCGCAAGCTCTTCCAGCTGATCCGCACCACTGGTCCCAGGAAATCAGGCGTCAGTGAGACAATGAGAGAGAGCGCGAATTCACTGATACACAATAAGGAGCGCAGTATGGCTCGTTGGGAGGAACACTTTCAAGATCAATTCAGCCGACCTCTTGCTCCTGTACCTCTTCCTACTCAGGTGATGCAGAACGAGCCATGGATGGTTAGTTTAGAGCCTCCGTCGTAGGCCGAGATCCGAAACGCGATCACAGCCTTCAATCGTTTTCGTGTTGTTAGCCCGGATTCCCTCCCACCTGCATAATTTATGGATGGAGGTGAGGTCTTCTACAAAGCACTGACCAGTTTATTTGAACGCAATTAGCTGGAAGATAGTGTACCGGCTAATTGGAGCGAATCGATTATAGTGGCAATATGCAAGAAGGGCAGTCGCACAGACTGTTCTAACCACAGGGGTATTAGCCTAACGCCAGCTGTGACAAAATTACTGGCCTCGATTCTCGTTCGTTGCCTCACTATGGAACGTGAATCCTGGATTAGGGAAGAGTGTACAGGTTTCCGCCCAGTATGTGTCTGTATAGACCACTTTGCGGCAGGTGCTAGAGCAGTGCCACGCATACCGCAGATTGACAATAGCTGTGTTCCTCGATTATAAGAGTGCGTTCGATTCAGTCGGTCGACCCATTGTTCAAATACTTGCCCGGAAAGGTGTTCCCATGAAATATGTGAACACCATACTTGCTCCATACTCGAACACTACAGGCCGCGTCAGGGTCTACGGCGACTTGTCGCATAGCTTTCCGACAACAAATGGCTGTCGTCAGGATTGTCCGATATCTGCATTAGTTTTTAATTTCGTTGTGGACCCTATCATGGAGCGTTCTGTTGCAGTATCTCACGTTGTAGGCGTTGGAATCCTGCTTGGTGAAAGGTTAGCTGATCCTGATTATGTGGACGATATCGTCTTGCTTTTCGACGATGATGCGGCCGCACAAGCAACCCTGAATAACCTGTCCAGAGTTGTCCTATTATTTGGTATGCACTTCGCACCTTCAAAGTGTAAAGTGTTGCTGTAGGACCACCAGCCACTTTATGACCCCTTGACTCTTGCTAGCAAGGAACTCAAGGTAGTTGATCATTTCCCTTTTCTTGGAAGCTGCATCAGCAACGGTGGGCGCATAGAAACTGAAGTCATTTCACGCAATGCAAAGTCTAGAACTGCCTACTTGGACCTGCGGCATCTTTGGCGACAGAAGGGAGTTTCCCTCTATCTGAAAGGCCGAGTATACTAGGCCACGGTGAAGACCGTGCTGCTATATAGTAGTGGAACTTGGCGCATTCGGTCTGAAGACCAAAAGCGCCTTCAAGTCTTCGCTCATCGTTGTCTGCGAAGCATTGCTCGTTAAGGCTGGTACCAGCTTGTCCGCATCGATGATGTGCATAGCGAGTACTAGGTAGTGATAATCGTGTTAGCTCCCTAGAACAAGATAGCACTGAATAAGTTGCGTTGACTCGGGCACATGTTACGCATGCCTCTTCACCGCTTACCTAGGAGGGTCTTGTTTAGGCTACCAGATGTAGGATGGCGCAAGGCTCGAGGTGGACAGAAGTTGATTTGGCAGCGGGAAATGAAGTCACTGACGACCGAACTGGGTGCTGTTGGTCCTTCTTGCCTTCTGGATTGGAGCCCACGTGTCTCGTCTTGCGCTTGGCTCGAGACTTTACAGGACATGGTTCGCAACCGACACCAATGGCGTGTCTGCTGCCGTCTCCCAGTCGGACTGCCTGTTTTTTTCAAGTGTGTTTGGTGCTGAGGTATGTGCGGGGTAATGGCTGATTAATACGCGGCGCAATGATAGCCGCAAGAAACTTGTCTCGCAGATGCCGCCTTATCTTTGCACGATAGTCAGCTGTTTGTGACGGTAAGTTGTCTGCACAAGGAGTAGGCGTCTTGACCCTGAATGTTTTCTTATG